TTTTTTTTTTGAAGACAAGGTTTCTCTGTGTAGCTCTGGCTGTCCTGGAACTCACTCTGTAGACCAGGCTAGCCTCGAACTCTCAAACTCAGAAATCCGCCTGCCTCTGCCTCCCAAGTGCTGGGATTAAAGGCGTGAGCCACCACCGCCCGGCTTTCCCTATGTTTTTAAAGGTACAAAGACAATTTGAAATGATCAAAGCAGGAGACAAAACCATACTTACTAAAGTGTCTGTTTCAGTCAAACTGTCATCTTGGTTTTTAATCCAAGTAGATTTGACTTTTTCTAAAGCAGCCAATTCCATCTGCAAAATAATAATAATAATAATAATGATGATGATGATGATGATTAGTCATAATCTAAGTGACTAGCACTCTTAATTTATTAGGTCTCCCAAGAAGTTTAAAATACTTTCACTTCCTCTTCAACCTCATACAGCCTTTAGGGCTTTCATCTTTTGAGAGGGGGGTGAGGTTTTTTGTGAAAACTCAGCTTCAGGCCACTTTGTTTCAAGAAAGCATTAAGTATGGATTAGAGAGATGGTTTGGTAATTACTGGCTGAGAACTTGCAGATAGCCTGCGTGTGATTTCTAGCACCCCCATGGGGTAGTCCACAACTGCCTGTAACTCCAGTTCAAGGGGATTCAATACTTTTTCTAGCCTCTGAAGGAAATCACATTTAAATGAACATTCTCACACACACAGGTAACAAAAAATAACTATTTAAAAGTCATTATGCAAATGATACACAGGGTGCAGAACTAGAAACTCTATTTATTTATTTATTTATTTATTTAATTTTGGTTTTCCTAGACAAGGTTTTGCTGTGTAGTCCTGGCTGTTCTGGAGCTTGCTCTGGTAGACCTGGCTGGCCTCAAAACTCAATAGATCACCTGTTTCTGCCTCCTGAGTACTAGGACAAAAGGCGTGTGCTAGCACATCTGGCTCAGGGCCAGACATTCTCTCAGTTATATTGCTAGGGCAAAGGGGCTTGATGTTAGGTGGTTTTCTGTTGAATCTATAAAATCTGAACACTTTTGTATCAAAAGAACACATGCCTCTCTGCCTGTCAGAGAAGGGAGACTCTCACAGTTTCAGTCTTTCACTTTGAGACTAAAGACATCAATGGTAGTTAAACGCTTTTGCTTGGTAGATACATCCAGAAAACCGTTCCTCTAACAACATATTAAGCAGCCGGGTGGTGGTGGCACACACCTTTAATCCCAGCACTTGGGAGGCAGAGACAGGCGGATTTCTGAGTTCGAGGCCAGCCTGGTCTACAGAGGGAGTTCCAGGACAGCCAGGGCTACACAGAGAAACCCTGTCTCGAAACACCAAAAAACAAACAAACAAACAAACAAACAAACAAACAAACCAAAAACCCCAAAATAAAAAAAAAAAAAAAACATACTAAGCAAAAAAAGTCCCATATGAAGCTGTCAGGTGTGGATTAATTCTCCATTGTCTCATTAACATTTCTCATAAATGTGAAGAGTTTATTAAGTAGACACAGATGGGCAAATGAGATCATTCATATTTGCTAATAATCTGGCCAAACAAGCATCACAGCCAGTTATGGGCAACAGGGTACAGGAGTCAGGGAGGCACTGGCCCCAGAGAATTTCTTTCTTCTATGGAACTAAAGGAAGAAGAAGATATTCAGGATAGTTCATTCACTCTCAACTATTCAACACCTTTTCTCTTTGTAAAATAGATACAACTGGAAATGGCAGGCTACTTAAGTTCAGGATGCCACTGAGTGAACTAACCAACAAGGAAAAAGCCTCCCTTTGCTATATACTCAAAGCCAGGGCGTTTCCACCTGGACTAACATTTAGGGTTCCATCATCTGTGTACTGCAGGGTGTTTAGGAATTTGGCCTTGACTCTCTGGATGCTAGTGGTAGCCCTTCCTGTTGGGCTAAAATTTCTCAAACCAATGACAAATGTCTTCTGAGAGGCAGACCATCCCTAGTGGAGAACCACTGCTTAAAGCCGTCTGCAAGACAAATCTGACACAC